CAGAGAACAATATAATTATATTGACACATACCTAATGTACTCCAACCTTTAACAGGAACTTGCTATAACCTTAGGAAAGAGAAGGTTAATACATGACACATACTGTAAGAGATGTCCATTTTAAAATAACTGAATGTGTGATTTTGGAGGGGGAATTTTTGGTGAATTTGGCATTTTGATAATAGCCATTCACCAAAATAAAATTAAAAAAAAATCCTAGGGCCCATGCACATACGTATATGCAGCCTATTTGGAGCCTGTGTACATGTACATGTGTATACTGTATTGTACCTTGTGATACACTATTGCATACATGTACATGCACTAATTGGCAGCCTTTAAAATCATTATCAAATTACAATGTACATGTACAATACATGTACAATGTAGATAAATAAGTCTATTTCAAATGTACAATGTACACATTGATTTACCTTGGCAATAAAAGAGAGTTCAGTGTGTAATAATGCTTGAATCAAAGGAAGGATTGGAGAAGAGGTTGTATTAAATTATGAAATGAGTGATTGAAGAGAAGTTGACATTTGATTGATAGCAGCTGTATCCTCAGATCTATCTGTTACATCATGAAGCTGGGATATATCTATTAAGTTATAAACAGCTAGCATTATTAAAATAACAACAGGTTGAATTTATCTTATGTCAGGTCAAAGTGCAAACAATTACAATTCAATTTAAAAATACATAATTTTATTTAATTAAGGCATGGTACATGTACATTTACATGTATTCCTACAAAGAATAAAATCATTATCGAGAAACCTGCTATACGTAAAGTATACAATGATACTACATGTAGTCCTTCCATTCAGTTGTGCTCTGCTGAAAAGCTTCATCTAACTGTCTAAACATTGCTTGACAGGAATAATGGGATTAATGTTTTCTTAAACAGTGTTTCCATGACAACAGGTAATATGTGAGGCATAACTCCAGCAATAGCAGTGGTAATAACTTGAACAAGACCCTAATAAACATGACAAGTATGAATTAATTAATCAGTGAAACTAGAGGGAGCAATGAGCCAGAGCTAATGAAAAAGACAGCTGCAAATTTGAAATTAAAGTTGATCAAATTAAAGCCTGAGAACTAATATAGATGTATTTCTTAACATGGCTAAAATATTGATTAAATGAAATTGAAAATTCTAAAACTGGAATTTAAATTCGCAACCTTGGGATGAGATGACTCTAGTAACAAGTTAAGCTATTTGAACATTATTTTATTTGAAGTGAGCATTTGATGTTCAAGCAGTTAAACAACAAAAGAAAAACCACACTTTGGAATTACATGTACATGTGCATGTGTATGTACATGTACAGTATCAGAAATGGGAATAAAAATTGGGAATGATTTGGGCTCATTTTTTGGAAAAAAATTATGGGCTATAGTACAAGGCATTTCTATAATGGTCCTCCAAAAATTTTAAGCTGATTTTACAAAAATCGTTACAAAATACCTTTACCGCATAGTGAGAAATTTCGGAGAATCTGAAATTTGGCGAATTGCTAAATTTTGATGATTGGAAAATTTTTATTTGGAAAATTTGTGGCCACGTACCATTGAGCATGCGTACAATGGCTCAAAATGGCAAATTTTATTTTGGCAAATGGCTATCAAAATGGCCCTCCAAAATTTTACACTATACGGTATGCCATAAAATAATAATGCATAGAATAATGGACATTAATTGTATACACAATTACATGTAGATGAAAATTTAATATCAATTACATGTACATGTACATGCATACACCATATGGCGCTTTAATTTGGTTCTATTTTGGTGATTGGTAATTGACAAATTATTAATACCACCAATCATTAAGGGCAAGCTCAGTCATGCACACGTACAATGTATGTGTACACAAAAATCATTAAATTAAAAACCGCCAATTATATTATTACAACAAAATCAAAAATTACCCTCGCTTCACACCTACGCATGGTTTGGGTAATAAAAAGCTACATTTTACATGTACACATGTACATGTACACTGTAATGCTTGTACAGTAAGCAAATCTCTCTCTCTCTCTCTTACTACTTACTTTAAGTTGTTCTTTCATTCCACTCATCATTTCTTTGTTCATAGCCTCCATTTCATTTTTAAACTGAAGCATCATCTGAACCATTCCGTCATTAACTTCTTGTCTAAAATAAAAAAAATAATAAACATGTAATTGTAAACAAAATAATTGTAATTGTAAAAATGTAATTGTAATTTCAATCAACAGCCAAAACTGGGTACTTCAAGTACAGTACATGTAAATACCCACACATGTACATGCATACTTCATTAAACATTTGGTGATTGACATGTTTCAATTTGGCAAAATTTGTGGCTACATGTACATGTATGTGTCCTTTAAATACTGTATCTAAACATGTGAATGCATGTACATGTACAACTGCCACCTAACATGATTGAATAGTTGAGACTGGATCCCTTCCTCATTGATATCCTCCTCCTCCTCCTCCTCTAGACTAACAGGAACTGTTAATGATCTCTCCTTATGTAATGAGAGTGTAGCGTTGATAGCATCTGTCATCAACAACAACAACAAAAATTATTATTAATAATACATACTATTAACATAAATAAAACTATACTGGTATAAAATTTTAGAGTGT